TAAGATTCGGCGGGCAACACGGGTGTCGTGGTATTCGTCGACCAGTTGAGCAAGATGGATCATCTGGCGGCGGTGCCAGACACCATCGACGGAGTCGGTACAGCAACGCTGTTCGTGTATCGTATTTTCTGACAACACGGACTTTTAGCGTCGATTGTCTCTGATACCTGTTTCACGGATAAGTTTTGATCGACTATCTTCAAGGTGCTCGGCACCAGGTTGGTTACGTCGATAGCGGATCATCCGCGTGAACGGGCTGATTCACCCTCGCGTCCCGCTGACGCCGCCATCCCATGGCTCAGGGCTCGGTGGGGGAGGGATAGCCAAACGGCTAGCTGATGTCAGCCCCCTCACCATCCGAAAGGAAGTCGATGACTTCTTGTCTACCAGACTGAGTGTCCTGCGTCACGTTCGTGATGCGATGGCTGAAAGCCAAGATCTGCAGAAACAATATGCAGATGAAAAAGGAGGAGACAAAGTGGAAAGCTTTAAGGTCGGGGACCTGGTTTTAATAAATTCTAAAAACCTGCCTACACATGCAGCCTCTGCTATCTTCAGGATGAAGCTTAGTCCACGGTTCATCGGACCTTTTATGGTTGTGGCCAAGCGGGGTCTAGCGTATACGCTGAACCTCCCAGAACATTTGCGCACCCACCCGGTGTTTTACGTGGGCTTGCCCAAGCCGTACCGGGATCCGGTGTAAGTGAACGCGGAAGCGTTGGCGACATGGACACCCAAAAGCTGATCCAGCAACTGGTTCTGAGCACGAAGTGCAACAACCTCCATTTCCAATGGAGCCAAGCGCTCCACGGCTAGGAGTTGCTCCGACAGAGAGCGGTAGTCCTCAAGGTGAGGCAACCGGCTCACGACGTGCTTGAAATCGTCAAGAGCGTCCGCACAGCGATATGATACTCCAGCATGACGCTCAGCGGAGTCCCCGATCACGAAGGACCTCGTCCTCAAGGGCTCAAAAAGCATGACGAGTCACCGGACGGCGGTCGAACCAGTCGTCATCATCCAACGCCGACTCTTCTCGACGAGAACGGTGACGTCCACTATCACGTGGAACGTCTTGTTGGACGACGTCGTCACCAGGGTTAAACCCAATATCTGGTGAAGTTGTGGGGATATCTCGACCCCGAAAACTCGTGGGAGTTTGAGGTGCCACTTCGGCAAGATTGCCCAGTCGCCGTGGACGCTTTTGATCGGAAAGATCGGGACGTTCCTCGTCATCAGACGCCCCGCGCTTCCTGGCAATAACCAGGGAAGTAGATGGTCCATGAGCTGAGCTCAAGCAGTCTAAGGCGCCAGTTAAAGGCACTGAGCTCTTGCGGTCGAAGACACAGAGCTCGCGGGAACATTAGGGGTTGACCCATACGTCGCAGGGCGACTATCCGAAGAAAATCGACGGCGTGCCTTGAGTTTGGCAAACTCAAAGCAGAGGTGTCGCTCCAGACGCACGTTCAAATCCTTATGGCTCAACTGCTAGTTCTGCAATGAGGAAAGTTTTCGGTGCCGTTTCACCCATCGCTCAAAAACGTTTTGTCATCTGTAGCGCTTTCGCCAGGGGCAAGCACTGCAGGTATTGTCCGCATTGCGGGTACACGAGAGCCACCTTGATGAGCACGTAGACAAGTGCGATAAATGTCTAACGGAATTTCATGTGGGACCAAGAAACGAGCTCGAAGAGCTTTTTGTGTGGCAAGTTCATCATCCGTTCTGGCCGGGGGCCCGATGATGTGGACGCGTAACGATCAATTTACCGCCTCCTCTGCTTCCACGACGGGATCCGCTGGGCGGAAGCCATTTGTCACACGAGAATTAATGACCGATCGTGATGGGCGCGCTTTAGAGCCGCCTTATGGGCAGCTTCAAGCTGCCGCCTCTGTTCCCC